ATTAAAAGTCCCTTTCAGAGTCTTAAAGCATTTTATAAACATTCTCATTTTTGAAGTTAAGAAAAATCAAAGTTTAGAAGAGTCAAAACTCTTGTTGATAGCTACACTAAAAATTGCAGATCCAACTGTAATAATAGTAATAGTGAAGGACACTTTATATATTTGTCTCATTTAATCCTAATAAGAATCATTAGGCAGTTACGACACCATTATAGCCATTATTTTACAGATGAGAAAAATGGGACAATCAGGATGATAAGCTTGCCCAAGTCCTTCATTTGGCAAATGACACTGCTGACATTTGAATCAGGCAGTCTAATGCCAAAGCTACTATTAGTAACATTTTGCCTTCCTAGAGTCTGGCTAGGAGCTCTGGTAGTGCAACGCCTAAGGCACTTGACTGCTAACCAGAAAGATGGTGGTTCAAACCCTCCAGCCACTCCTCAGAAGGAAGGTTGGGCAATCTACTTCCATAGTGATACCACCTCAGAAACCCAAGGAGGGGTTGCTATGAATCAGGTCTGACTCAATGGCACATAACAACAACAACAACAACAACAGAGTCTGGCTTTTAAGTTACCCCAACATTTCTTAAAATAGAAATATGGAAAACTGATGGCTAACTTCCATGGTCTTCTGCAGATTTTGTGATTTCAGCTTAAGTTTACCTTCACTTTTTACCTGTGGTCATCAGCCTGAAGTCCACAATTTTGATGATGAAAGCAAGACATTGTTAAATAAAATATCTTCTTTACTTGACTGATATTTTCCTTTCTTGGATCCAGAAACAAGGCACTCTGAAGAGCACATCAATTTTGTATTCATTATGAGCCCTCTTAAACTCCTAAGTAAACATCTCAGGGATGGGATCTTCAGATCTTTTTCCAAACAAGATGATGGGTTGGTGTCAATATATGGTCACTGCCTTGTCCGGTTATTTGGTAACTAAAAAGACATATTCTTTTGAGTTGGAAGCTCATAAGAGCACATGCAGTTGGATATGGAGTTAAACATAGTCCTTTCAGTTTCCCAATGAGTCAACCAGCCATTAAAAAACCAAACTCACTGTCGTCAAGTCAATTTCAACTCATAGAAACCCCTCCTTGGGTTTCTGAGGCAGTACCACTACGGAAGTAGATTGCTCAACCTTCTTTCCGAGGAGTGGCTGGTGGGTTTGAACCGTCAG